CACAACAGAAATAATGCTGCCCGGTAGGTCACCACAACAACCTCAACCCTACCAACATTACACGTCATGAAACAATCCCCATTGTCTGCATTATTTACAGCAAACATGGGTACAACTGACAGCACACAGCCACACGATGTTTGGTAAATATCTCGCAACAGATCTCAATTCGAGTCAGCAGGTTTTTGTTGTTTTGTTTCGAGATCATAAGGTATAAACCTTATTTATTCCAAATAAAAATTATAAATCTATTGCAGACATGTCAACCAAGTTGGAAGGATTTTTTACCCAGTGAGAATGTGCTATTAAACCAGGTTCTTACAAAATACATACTGCTTTTACACAAAGATGTATATTTTCAGAATAGATACTGATAAAATTGTTAAACATTCATAAAGATTTAAGTGCTCCCCAATGACCTTGGTTACATACTGGTTCCTTCACTATGGTTTTATAACCTTATGAAAGTATAATATACCAACATTTATCTAGGTTTAAGAACCATCTCAGGGTTGTGTGAAATCTACGGACCGCTAACACCACGTTTTGAGTAGTCGGCAGACTGGAGGGGCTTTTAAATATTTAAAAATATTTTTAAATATTAAATTTTTAATATGCCGTACTTTTTTGTACAGATGAGAAATGCAGCCGCCTCCTAATTCCTGAGAGCACGTCTGCCGGCCGCGTTACCTGGCTATGGGCCATAAGCTGTCGCAGAAGCCGGCCAGAGCAAGGTGAGGTTCAGCACAAGTACACACAGGCACCGCGTCGCCATTCATACACGCAGGGTGCAGCCGTGACAAAGCTAACCCTTGTACCTTTTGTAAAGATGATAATTGGTTTTTAATGAGTGCATAAGTAGATATACACAGATACGCAATTAAGGGGAGCCTCGACCTGCGGCTACGCAAGCAGGTTTTGGCTGAAGACTTAGAATCATTAGAACCACCACCACCGGGGGGGGGGTTTATTAGCCCGTCACCGTGGCACAGGCATCCTGTGCCGTGTGCTTTAACACACAGCTTCTACTTAAACAGAGGGACCAGAGTTGTCTTAAGCACAAATAGGCTTCAATTTGCCAGCAGTCAGGGTCAAACAGGGCACAGCATTCGAGGAAGGTTACCACCCTCTCTTTAAGGATCATGGTAGCAACGCATGTAACTTGTGGGAACGTCGACGGAGCCCATGAACAATGCTGTCCATCAACCATGTTCTTAAGGGGTCATTAACAAAGGGCCAAAGTGTATGCAGTCATTAATCACGTCTCAAAAACCGCTCACTTGCAGTTCTAAATAAAGCAATAGTGATCATTCTGTAGATGCTTGCTGTCTAGCACCTGCTCTGATCTGCATGACAGCAACCCACCGTACAGCATCACGTCACACCAGAATGCCAGTAAGACCCCCACAGGCCTTGTGGGGCGGGGTCTTTACAGGACATGATCCTTTAACGAACACAACAGTAAATACAAGGTCTTTGGAAATACTGAACTTTACAATTCCCCAAGAATTCATAAGCTGATTTCTCAACAAGACCGATGTTTCAATAATTCTTCTATGACCTCACTGAAGAGCTGGCAAGATGGAACGGTGTTATTAAAGAGTTAATCTTGTTGCCCTGATGACTATGAGGTTACCGATGTATACACATTACATAACAAAAGCCACAAAAGAAATGAAATCAAAAATATTGCGTAATGTTTGAATCAATGTCGAATCCATGTTGGCGTAACTCAGTATAGTTCAATTTTATGAAGCTGCACAAATATTATTTCAAACATTATAGCTACACTAAAATGTCAGACAAGAAAAAGGAAAAAAAATCGGATTAAAGCGTTACCCTGCACCACATGTATAAACATAGTGAAACCAGTGAGAAGAGAGAGACTAAGAAACACTTATGAATGCGTAAGTCATGGTACATTTTAGTTTATAAAGATTTTTGACCAGTAGAGTATAGGTACAAATATAACTATATATTAAGCATTACTGATAAGTTCAGAGAACATTTCCATATCCAAAATATGTATACTTTAAAAACAAAGGAAGCTTAAATTAGTTTTTTTGGGAATATTACTATTAAAATCAGCGGATTACTGAAAACACGGAACCCAGAAATCCTACCCTTCCCCTCCCCATTGAGGACTTTTATTCAAACATCACATAAAATATCAACCTTGAAAAATGTTCTGCAAATATCAAGTCACATTCAGGCAGGTTTGACTGCAGCTCTGTTTCGATGCTGGACCGCATGTCCTCAGCACCATTGTGAAGAGCGTAAGGATTGAAGTAGCAAAGCTACAGACCTGCCCCATCAGACAGGCTCCTCACACACCGGCCCTTTGCATTTCAGCTCCATTTCACACAGCTGCTCATAATTACAATCATCTAAAATTCCAGTGTAGCATTATTTTAGGGCCATGGTTATTCTTTAATCTTAACTTGGAGTGAAATGTATACAACTGATAATATGCAGCAGTTAATTCTTAAATGTGAAAAATTTAAGTGAATTATTGCTTCTGACTATTTATATGGACTCCTCCATTTTTGCAACATTTTGGCAACAATATAGATAGTGGAAAGGTACAGATTCATTTACTCTACAAACAATTATAACCTATTCTTATGAATAACAGGCATTGAAAAATGTATTGACATTAGGCCATCTAAAACACTGATGAAGTACAAAGCTTAAAAAAAATTAGGAAGATTACAAATTACATTAATGAATTTCCACTGCATATTTAAATTCTGCACACATATTGCTCATCTCTTAAATCTTATGGTTTAAATTATGAAGCTATACAGGGAAAAAATATTTTGTGTGCAAATATATTTGTGGGAAGTTGTCAGAGCCGTTTGTTTTCCAAAACCAACATACAAGAAATGGTTCTTATTCAAAGTAAAAGCAAAATGAAGAGAAATGAGTCAGGAGGCACAATATGAGCAGACAAGATGGTTTCAGGAGAATCTTCAGCCTGAGCCTCATTTCAGGACATATCTCCAGCTGGGTCAGTAAGCTACAAGCAGAGGTATATAAATCTCTAACTCCTGACTCAGCTTAAGGACCCAGACATTTGGCAGCAGCATTCAAGAGGTTTTGGTGATCTTCAATTTCCTGGTCTCTCCACAAATAATCTATGGCTTTCAAGGCCAGTCTTTGGCTGAGGCTCCTAAAGACACTCAGAAATTTGTTCTGAAGCCACACAAGCATTGTCTTGACTGCGTGCTTCAGACTGTCATCATGGTGAATATAACAGGGTGAACATCAGCCCTATCACAGGAGACTGGTGAACATCAACCCTATCACAGGAGACTGGTGAATTCAGCCCTAGTCCAAGCCTGTGTGCACTCAGGAGAAGGTTTTCTTCATAAATTTCTTTTGGTCCTGTTCATCTTTACTTCGATCTTGACCAGTTTCCTAATCCCTAATACTAAGAAGCACCACTACAGCAGGAAGCTGTCAGAACAGTTCATTGCATTAGCCAAGTGATGAGCAGTTCCTGGCACTTACTGGATTCCAGTTTGGTTTCTCTTATCAGACCAAAGGACCCTTTGTCTCATAATGCTTTAAGTGCCCTGTGGCAAAGATCAGGCCAGCTTCCATATGTCTGTTACTCAAAGTGGCTTTCTAGCTACTTTACCACAGACACTCAACTGATGGAGTGCCATTGAGATGGTTGTTTGTGCAGTAGATTTCCCATCTTTACAGAGGGACTCTGAAGGTCACTGTCAGTTTTATACCCTATTGTAGATCTATGCATTGACACAATCCCAACATTGTACAGAGTGTTCTTTGATCGTAATGATTTGGTTTTTGCTATACCAAGAACTGTAAGTGCTGAAAAACACAGATTCACAAAACATGTCAACTCAAGCTGAATTGCTGCAAGGGGACTACAGTCAAGGTATAGACACCAGTCTAGATGATCAAAACAAATGGAGCTCAATGTGAAGTGTTACAGTAAAGGGTATGAATACTTAAGTACATGGAAGATTTCAGTGTATTATCAATTTGTCACAATGGCGTTCCATGCATAGAACAGTGGCAAAAGGAATAAATTCCATTCATTCTGAAATGATTATACAACACAACAAAAAGTAAAGGTGTTTGGACACTTTCTAGAAGCACTGAGTTAGAGAAACATATTCCACCAAAAACAAAGCATAACAGCTTGTTCCTACAGTGCAGGCTATACGAGGCATAGTTTGTTTGACCAAAATACAATCCTGGTATCTCTGAAAAATACAAGCCAGATTAAAAAAACACACACACACACCAGCACTCCACTAAAGGCCTCTTGAATGAATTGACCTTATTTCAGAAAGCATGACAGGTGTTGGCCTTTGTTGATTTCATTTGCAAAAGACTTCAGGAAGAAATCTATGTTTTCAATGCCTGCCTCACACATAAAGATACCAAGTTATGCCATGTTGACATCTAATGCCATGACAGCAACTAGAGCCACATTCATGGCCAGAGTATATGGGTTGTAAAGATGCCAACTTGTCATTCTATGCATTAAATTTCAGCACAATTAAGTATTTACGGGATTTTAAAAACCTGCTCCAAAGACAGCTTACACCTTATCTTATGAGAGGATCAGGTCATTCAGGGGTTTGCAGCCTGGTGTCCACAACCCACCCCCCGAGGGGTCCGGCAGAACAGCTGAAGCGGGTCTGCAGAAACGTTTTGGAAAACCCAACGAAAAGGCACTGTGGAAACTATCAAGCTCCATACACAATGCTGAAAAGAGCAAAAAAAAAAAACCTGAACTAATCGAAAACATAAGGGATACTTATAAGTAAGGAGAATAGTAGGCAGGTCAAGTATTTTTCACTTATCCTGGCAGCCAAGTAAAAGATGACACTTACAGATACTTACATTTCAAAAAAGAAAACAAGCTTTCAAATCAACAGGAACCTGAACCTCTAAAATGTCTGCTTCTCCATGACAACCAAATTTATACAGTATCAGCCTGTGGAGTATCTGCCGCTTATCAATTAAAGCTAAGGGCATCCCAGAAATTAAATTAAATCCCAGACCACTGAGCAGGCAAGTTCTGTGGATTTTCATTTAACTCATTTATGCAATAACTTGCCCTGGGGTCCTAGTCAGAGAATAAAATATTGCAACTTGCATGTGACTTGCATCTTAAGTGGTTAAGGACCCCAGCAGATGTAGAGCTACCACTTGCCTCACACGTGTTGTAGTCTTCAGAATCCAGCAGGGCGCACAGCTTTGGAAGCAGATCCGGCCAGTTCTGCAGTTCTCCCTTCGAGGCGATGGTCGTGATCAAAATACCTACAGAACACGAAAGAGTCCTCTTTCTTCTCTTTTAAATAAAGACAAGTGTAGCTAAGCTCTGAATGATACTGGGGACACCCATCCATGTTATTCCAAGAAGGCAGAGTGGTGTAACAGCCAATAAAGTGCAGCACAAACACAACGCAGAGTCTAGTTCAAAAACCTGTTTTTTAACATTGCCACTTATGCCTTTTTCAACACATTGCTGTCACCATAGCATTTTTAGCGAAGCTCAAGACAAGCTTCTATACAATTTACAAAGACATCATCCCGTTAGCCATGTGCACATTAGCCAAAGACATACCGGTCATAGACGATTTTAAAATAAACACCAAGTCAGGCTAAATAAAGGGTAAACTATCAGATATGGGTTTCAAAATTTAGTGTAAAAAATAAAAAATAAAAAATCACCAAGACGAATTCCTGAACCTAATCTTTCCTGTGAAGGCTGGGGGAGGACAAAACAAAAAAAACAAAGAAACTGCCGTCTTTTCCGCGACACACGACACGTGTGCACTTACCACGTGAACAGCAGAAGTAGGACAAAGCAAGACTATGTCACTGTACGAATGATTAAGCGTTGTTTACATTTTTCGTATACGCATAAAAATGGAGAGAGATTATAGCACTCACCCACTGTCGCTCGAATGAGAGGGGAGGAGTCACCAATGTTTTGCAGGCATTCGTTCTTGATGAAGTCTGACACGCCATTGGGAAAGTTCTGGTAGTGAGCCTTCACGTTATTCTTCAATATCAGGCCACTCAAAGACCTTGTGGGCTCATCTAAAAGAGGCAAGTCAGCACAATAACCTTAATGCTAAATTAATCATTTAGCTGTTAGCCTGCAGCTAATCAATTCTGTCAAACATCAAAGGCTTCACTCTAGGCTTTCAGATTCTCACCAAGTTCCAGCAGTTTATCCACAGAACACCAAACCAGAACACAGACCATCTGAAGCTTAACCAAAATATTTTCAATTGGCATTATTTGATCATCGCAGATCACCAAGCTCACATTATTCATTTAACACACAAACAAAAAAAATTGCAGGTAGTTTGAAAAGATTGTATTTACAAGCTTACATTTCATTCACAAGCTTCAAAACAGTGAAATAAATTTAGCATATCAAAAATATTAAGAAGTTGACAATGCAGGCATTAACAGTGAGCCATGAAGAGTATATTCAAGGAAAGTCTCACAGGGGACTTATCTTGCTCAATGGTGTAACTAAAACTACCAATATAACATGTCTGATATTAAGTTTAGTAGTTCTTCAGTAATTTGCCTTAGGGATCCATTATCACAGACAAGGTGCAGTAAAGCAGCTAATTACCACAAATGCCTTGTAATTGCTCTTTGTCTTTCCCCATTAATTGCTCTACTGCTCACAGTTTGCTCGAGTACTATGCATGTTTTATTTAATTTGCAGCAATTCAGCATCTGCTTACAACAGTTTTAACATTTCCACAAGCACAGCAGGTATTGATACAGACACAATGTTACAGTCTATAAATAAGAATCTTGCTATTTATTTTGGGATTTGGTAAATCACAGAAATATAAAACCCATTTAGAATCTGACAAATAATGGTTTTGGGAAAAGCATTGCACAGCAGCATTTAACATTAAAGATCCACCAAAATACACCTGTCTTACAAAATGGTGACAGAATTCGGATAAAATTCAAATATTACATTAGCAAATTACTTGGCATTAGTACTTAATGAGAAAAGCTTTCCATTTATTGCAATTATTTTTAACAACCCACTCATACTGCCTGTTCAATAAATCAAGGAATTTACTTAAGATTGAGTGAAGTTTTTGCTGCTCAGCTAGATTTGAAACCAATAAAACACCAGTCGCTTCTTCCCTTTTGGAAAACAATTCTAATCTCTCCAATATTGTTCGTAATCAAAACAAGCAAAAAAAATAAATGAATCAAGAAAGTATATTTAACAACCACCCTTATCTGTTTAAGAGTATTGGGCTAGGGTAAAGAAAGAACATTACAGAATGTGAATTGACTTGTAATGTAAAGAAATACATAGTAACTAGTCATGGGTTTAACCTCAATTATCCTACCTATCTGTGACAACTTGAACATATAGGAAACCAAAGCAGTAAATATTCATAATCACAACATACCATTTTTCATGTAGATAAGTGTGACTTAGTTAAATATTGGACAATCTCCAAGATCTCCAAAGCTTAGTATTTATCATTCTAAAATGTTATCATCAAATTACATAAAGCACAACTAAAAATGAATAAAAATGAGCTATTTCTTCACATAAATAAGAGGGCTCTTCTTGATATGAGTTAAGATAAACTTACTTTCAAACCCACATACTTTGTGATACTGGTGGTAACAGTTTTGCAAACATTTTCACATTTACCTTCGGGAGCAGGCACATTAGTCTAAAGTGACGTACAAATGAGGCTCATTATAAACATTCATGCTGTCAAGGAGTCGACTTGGCATAAGTGCAGCTAGGCTGAGCTTCCAGTGAATTCTGAGTGATAAGCCGTATTGAAGCCAGAGCTACACATGATCTTTCAAACAATGCAAGAACCTAACAGAACAACTACAGAAGTACCCAGAAAACATTAAGAACATTTGGGTGCACATGTACAAGAATGATCAGGGAAGGAAATAAGGGAAGGAAAATTTTGCTACATACAGGTTTTTATACATCGGATGTCCATTTCTGATATTAAGATTACCATTTAACAATGTGGATATTTCAAAGTTTGTATAAATAGTTTTGGTTTTAAATCATAAAAATATGCACTGCATCACAGTACACATAAGAATAGATTTTCAGAGGTTACCAGTATGACTGAGTAGAGGTGGGCGATATGGCAAAAATCCCATAATTTTTTTCATACAGGATCACAATCCATGATCTAATCATAATTTTTTCATATTGGTTTTTAAGACTATTTTGTAAGTCATAACTGCACAACCAAACAAATTCCCCATTAGCCCTATAAGGTGACAAGACGTAAAACGTAAACATACTCAGCATTACTCTTTTGTGCGTTTCCTTTTGAGGTGCTAAAAACAGATCATTGTCCTGCCATCGGATGCGTGAACTAGAGGTGGGCGATAAATCGATTTTATCGATTAATTCGAATTTACAGTTCAGGACGATGTGTTTTTATGAAAATCGATTTTATTACTTGTTTTACAAAAAGCGGAACTAATGCGACGCACCGTTCTTCACGGGTAAATTAGCGCGCCGCACCCAAACACTGTAGCGAATTCACAAACATGGCAATGGTTCGGTTTTGCGCCATCGGACACAGACCAAACAAGTCTTCGTTGCGAAGTCTGTTTAAAAACGGTTGCAACCAAAGGAAGCAGCACGACAAATTTATTCCAGCACCTAACTAAAGCAGAGGCACGCAGCGGAGTGGGAGAAGTGCAGCTCCCAGCGAAATGAAAATAGCCGCACCACCAGCACAACATCCAAGGTTAAGCAAGCAACCATCCCTGACACGTTTTCGAACTGTGTGGCATATGATTAGAATGGGGCACGGTGGAAGGCGATATCAAACGCTGTCGCGATGTATATTGCAAAAGACATGGTGCCCATGTATACTGTGGAAAACCCGGGATTCATTAACATGCTAAAAGTTTCTAAAAGTGTTTACAATGCCGTGGTCTGCCATCTCACTTACAAGCATCTTTTTTGGCTTGTCAGATTGCACTTTTACTCTAAAGTAAAAAAAAAAAAAACAGTTAAAACTTTAAATCGAAAATCGGATTTATTGTGGAAAGAATCGGAGATTCTATTTTTATCGCCCAGCTCTAGCGTGAACCATATCTTTGCAAATTTCGCAAATAACTGTTTGGTAATATGCGATTTGTTTACCAAAACCAACATGGAGCAGTGTCAAAATCTTTTTGGGGACAAACTCCTCCACATTGTACCTGCAGCTACATTGCCAAATAGGGAACATGTTGCATGTTTCGCATCACATGTTGGGACAAGGGAGCAAAAGGGAAAGAGGAAGAAATCCAAAACACTACTTCGAAATGGATTTGACTGACAACTTTAAAACAACTTTAGTGTGATAAAGCCATATAACTGCAATCTCTTCATAAGAGTAGATCACGCAGATATTTTAATTGTTCACAATCTAATATCATGATATCGCACACCCCTACAACGGGATGATTGCAATATTAATATCAACACTGCATATTATTAACATGCAACGGTCACATTGCAAGGACTGAGACAGCTGGGAGATCAGGCATGGGTGGTATCTCATTCTCCATACATTCATACCATCCAAACATTCAGCAGCATATAATATTTTAATAGCAACATTATTTTGTAATGCAGTTCCATTACTTTTAAATCATGGTCCTAAGATTTGCCAAGCATGGGGTGGGGGGGGGGGGGGGGGAGACATTGTCATGGGAAACAAACGCAAGTCACTTAACAGTTAATATTAACCTAATACAAACAAAACAAAACACAAACACTAGTGCATTCTTTGAATAAGCCCTGCAGTTTTGCAGTATTCTTCCTTATGGTGTTTTCCAGGAAGTGACTAATTAGATTTGCTGTATTAAATGACCCTCTGTTGCCACCTCGTCTCGAAAGGATGGCATTGAAAATATTGAAGGTAGCTGTTGGGCTACTTTGAGTTTCCACAAGGCTGATACCTCAATAGTTTGTAGTTTCAAGCCATGTGCCCCAGGCTAAGTGCAGCATGTGACAGACCTTACGATGTGTGCAACTGATGTAATTTAGGTGGCCGCTGAAAATTTAATAGATCGGGCTTTGGATTGAGCTAAGGCAGACAAAAGCAATCATTTAAAAAAATGCCTGGATCAGTCCCGAATCCAATCTTCAATACTGGCTTGGAACATCACTGTTTTGACCTCCTTTCTTGCTTTGTAAATAGCACAATATTAATCTTAAAAAAACATGTTGCAAATTTTGAATTATTCACAGTATTATGCAGCCCTAGTTACCAAAAATACTGACAAAGTAATACCGTTTTCCAAATTAAAACACACCCTATGCAATGGCACGCACCAGTCGAAATTCTCATCTAATTGTGTAAACAGACCCCAATCTACTACTGATGAGTAAGCTATGTGCTCATGGTTTTGTGTGCATGCAGTTTTTGGCCATCAACAGGCCAACTACAAAGAATACTGTACTGAAAAAAGATATACACAGAGATGGAATGGTATGTAAATTTTATTGCGATTATAGTGACCAAAATTATCCCGGTTATCAGTATCGCGGTATTGTTCAAATTTGCTGAACATGTTCCCAAACGAATTAGCCAATCAGGTTTTACACAGAAAACCAAAAATGAAATTGGAAGCACACTGCACTTTTTGGTTGCATAAAGATTAAAATAATGACAATAATGTAAAATAATGCCAAAACCTTAGACAGGGCTCCGAAAATCTGTCAAGTGCGACTAATTTTTATTAATACTGTATTTGCTGCAGCTACAGAGCTAAATATACATTAATAATCTAATAAAACATGTTGGTTATACTATCAAGCTAAAGAGATTTTTTAATAATAATAACACATCTTGTGTCATGACAAGTGCGTGACAACAGAGTGCCCCCCCCCCACCCCGCGTAGCATTTTAGCGTCAAGCGAAAGCTTCTTCTATAAGTATCTGGGAGGAGCAGCACCAGATTGTCTGAACTTTTTAAGTTTTAAAATAATTAAGTTTATTTTAAGTTAATTTTATTTTTTATTTGTGCTGTGATTCAAATAAAGACAAACATTTACCTGC